GAATAGAATAGGAGAAAGAATAGAATGGAATGGAATGAAATGAAATGGAATAAAATGGAATAGAGTAGGAGAAATAATGGAATGGAATAAAATAAAACAGAACAGAATAGAATAGTGTCCACGATGTAGAAAAGATGCGGAGACTCTAGAAAGAGTGCAGAGAAGAGCAACAAAGAGGTTTAGGGGACTGGAGGCTAAAACATACGAAGAACGGTTGTAGGAACTGGGTATGTCTAGTTTAATGAAAAGAAGGACTAGGGGAGACATGATAGCAATCTTCTAATATCTCAGGGGTTGCCACAAAGAAGAGGGAGTCAAACTATTCTCCAAAGCACCTGAAGGCAGAAGCAATGGGTGAAAACTAATCAAGGAGAGAAGCACTTTAGAACTAAATTTCCTGACAGTGAGAACAATTAACCAGAGAAACAACTTGCCTCCAGAAGTTGTGATCGCTCCAACACTGAAAGTTTTAAAGAAGATGTTGGATATCCATTTGTCTGAAGCAGTGTAGGTTTCCTGTCTTGGCAGGGGGTTGGACTAGAAGACCTCCAAGGTCCCTCCCAACTCTGTTATTCTATTCTATTCTAAACCATACCTTCTGAAGAGTCATTTCAACGGATGCTTTATGAACTTGTAAATTATGCCTTTTCCACCTCCTGTGCGGAAATATTGAATTTCATTTCAATTCCGCGCAGCAGCCTTCTGCAGCCGCCGGCTAGATGAATTCCTTGATCCTGCCTGCGTGTGGCGCTGTGCTATGAGCAAAGCTGATGCGTGGCTCTTGAAGGGTGGATGTAGTGGGGAAGGGGGGAGAGATACTGCAGAGGAGAAATAGCCAGAAATTATTAGTCTAATTACGCTTCCCTTATGCAGCTGACCTTAGCTGTATGGCAGCGCGTCGATCAAAGCTGCAAGGGCCCCAACATTATTGGAGTTTTAATAAGAGTTAATTGGCGAGAGGCAACTCTGAAGCTGGAGCCTCAGCATGCGCTCTGGACTTCCATTGGATGGATGGGGAGAGAGGAGGCTACAGTAATATGGATGTTATTATGGGTAGTTAGCTTCCGGAAGTGTTTCCGTACGAGAAAATCCGCCTTGGGATGCGGTTCTGATGGCTTCCATTTCTTCTGCAGAGGGAGAAAATTGACGCGGTTTATTTCAACATCTGCTCATCCCTTTCTCATTTTCCCTCCTCCTTAAAAAGGGATTCTTGCAGGAATCTGAAATGAGTGGGTAGGTTTTGCTGATGTTGTGGCCCACCAGCGGACAGCGGAGCTGGGAGCACATTCGGACAGTGAGAAGGTTGGAGAGGAACATGGGCCAGTCCTGGAGTCTGGGGAAGGCTCTGATGAGGGCTCTGTGTCGGAGGCAGAGAGGGGGCCAGNTTTATCCTGACTTCATTCCCCAAATGGTCCCTCTATATCAGTGTTCCTTAATTATTATTTTTTTCGGGATCCCCTTTCCAGTTTTAAAAATTATGGAGGACTCCAGAAGAGCAAATTTTGTTTGTACGGGTTATATTTATTGACGTTTGTCGTATTAAAAAAATTAAAAATTTCGCCGTTGCAGAATATTTATTTATTGGGTCGTGTAAAAATAGCAATATTAAACCCCTTAGATGAGGATGTAAATGCAATATTTTGCATGGAAATATATTTTAGCAAATTAAAGATAATGCTGAGATGAGTGATATCGCTTTAAATCTCTGAAAATACCTTCAATATCTGGCAAATAACTTTGATTGCGAGAGCCAGATGGTTGTAGCGGTTTAAGGCGTTGGCTTAGAAAGAAGACGGCAGTGGATTTTAGTCCCGTCTCAGGCACGAAAGCTGGCTGGTTGATTTTGGACAATTACCAAAGATTGTGAGTTCTAGTCCCGCCATAGCATGAAAGCAGGCTGGGTGACTGAGCCAATCACTAGGAGATTGTGGGTTTTAATCCCACTTTAGTCATGAAAAAAAGCCATCTGGCTGACTTTCGGCCAATCACCAGGGGATTGTGAGTTCTAGTCCCAGCATAGGCTGGGTAACTTTGAGCCAATCACTAGGAAATTGTGAGTTCAAATCATGAAAGCCAGCTGGGCGACCTTGGGCCAGTCAGCAGGAGATTGTGAGTTCTAGTTTCACCTTAGCCATGAAAGCCAGCTGGGTCACTTTCTCCCCCCTAACCCACCTCATAGTGGTTGGGGTGGGGGGGAGGACGGAGTATTCCATATGTTCACCACCTTGAGTTATTTATAAAACTTAATGAAAGTGGAATACAAATAAATAAATTTGATTTTTGCGGGACCCCGAGCAGAGGTGGGATTCAGCAGGTTCTGACCAGTTCTGGAGAACCAGTAGCGGAAATTTCGAGTAGTTCAGAGAACTGGTAAATATGACCTCTCACTGGGCCCGTCCCAATATATTCTCTGCCTTCTCAGTCCCAGCTGATCAGGAGGAAATGGGGATTTTGCAGTATCCTTCCCCTGGAGTGGGGAGGGAATGGGGATTTTGCAGTATCCTTCCCCTGGAGTGGGGAGGGAATGGGAATTTTGCAGTATCCTTCCCCTGGAGTGGGGTGGGAATGGGAATTTTGCAGTATCCTTCCCCTGGAGTGGGGAGGGAATGGGAATTTTGCAGTATCCTTCCCCCAGGAGTGGGGAGGGAATGGGAATTTTGCAGTATCCTTCCCCTGGAGTGAGGAGG